CAAGTGCCACTCAAAATGCCTCAAAAATTTTACTTCTGACTTTGGCATTTTTATTCGCGCCCTGCACTTTCCTGGGCGCCCAAAACACGGCACATTTTTCTGACATGATAGTCTTCAGTAAAACGCCCATAACATTTTATAGGAACATAGAAATGACAAAAGGTTTGATGCGTTGGAAACTAGACTCAAAGGGATTTAATTTTATAGGTTTTTCATCACATAACTCTTTATATATATGTAGATATTCTCGTCCAAAATTTGGTCTTTTAAATACCAATATGAAACTTTAGTCTATCATGAAATTTTCAACTTGACTTGGACTTAGGGCTGTTCTTAGACCCCACATCACTTGTAATATGCCTCGTACACTTATTATCATATCCAATTGATATCCATCCTATTAATAGTCCTCGTCTGCACAAACAAATAATATAATTAGCGCACATCAACTTTCTTGATAGCGCTTAAGTACTTCGAAATTTTTCGGGGTGTTACATCCTCTATTGGTTCCAGTGGACTTAGGTGAGTCTAGAGATGTACGCGATGGTATTTCCTGTCATATGTGGTTGAGGGTGACATTAAGAGTTTCCTTGTGCTTACCAATGCTCCTTTGAACCCAATCAATTGTATTTTCCTTTGTAACAACATCATTAATCTCAATATCAGAACTTTCTTGCGAAATATGAAGTAATGTAGGTATCTCCTGGTCATTCACCTTTCCTCTGTTAACTTTAGCCGTAGGATTAACAAGATCGGAACTGGGAGCTGACTCCCTCTTCATAGAAGATGGTGGAGGGGTGTGTGGTTTGGAAGCTGGACCTGTATTCTGTGCTGGCCTTGTCACTTGTGCCTCAACTATTTGTTCAGTAGGCTGTTTTGATTTCTGTGGCTTGTTTCTTTGGTTGATACCCCTGAAATATTTCTTTTTTTGAGATTTCCATTGATCCTTGGAATGGTTTTCCTTTATTGATTGTTGTGATGTTTCCTTTTGACCAATTTTTGCTTGCTGTTCTTCACTTTTGTTTTGCTCCACCATTTTTTGCTTGGGATTCTGGTCTTTGTTCTGCCCCTGTATTATCTGCTCCTGTTGATGTTGTGTTCCATTTGCTATTTCTGTCTTGTTTGTAGTATGGTTCTCAGTATTGTGTGTTGTTTCTAGTACAAATTTTCTCTTTTCTTGTTCTTCCCTTTTCCTAATAGAGCAGTAGTATTCTTCATGTCCCAGGTGTCTACAATGTGTGCAGTATGTTGGTAGATCTTCATACACGACTTCCAGTCACTAGCCATCCCCATTAACATCTTGATTATCATCAAAACCAAGCCAAACATGATGTGGTCTGTCTTGAGTTAAATCCACATGCATCTTTACTTTTGCTACACTTCCCCTTATTTTTTGCATTGATGTAATGTCTAGATGCAGAACCTTACCAACAAGTGATAGTAATACTGATAATATTTTCCTATAGTAAAAATACCATGGCGGTTCAGGGATAATTATCCAAACAGGGACAATAGGTGTATCCTCATTCGGATTGAAGGTAGGTGTCCAAGCTTGTAATTCCATTCTTTGACCCTGGATGTACATGAATTTTTTTGTCCATACAGTGATGTGATCATACTCATAGTATAGATTAATGTACAATGTTCTAACATTGAAATAGGCTATTTTAACACCTCGTCTGAGTTTAGTTTGTGCTATGAAGCTTCTTCTTATATGTTCCATTCTTGGCATTGTGTTAATAAAATTTCCAACAATTGTATATTGGCATTTGTTGGCCAGCGTGAACATGTAATCCTTCCCGGTGAATATAACAGCTAGTTAGCCCAGTTTGGTTGTTATTTTTGGAGGTGTGAATTCTATTGGGGTTATCTCTGCATCCTGCCTTGCTCTTAACTTTGTAGCTAGGGATTGTGTGATAGTAGGAGGTGGTGGAGCAGGGTAGTTAGCAAGTTTATTCGATTGGGCATTGGTGTCTGTTGGATTGATTGGAGCAGCTATTTAATGTTCTGAAATTGGGTATTTTGGTTAATGGTTGCAGTTGGTTTAAAGGTGTTTGTGTATTTTGGTTTATCAAAATTATTTGAGATCTTTGGGTTTATGAGTGCAGTTGGAGCATAGGTGGTTTGGTTGTGATATTTCGCTTGACGGATGGTATCTGTTGGTGGTAAGTTAGGCTTTGTGGTGTTTTGTTGCAGTGTTGAGGCCCTTTTTTGTTGCTGACTAGCGGGCATTTTATCAAAGTTAGTGGATATTTTAGGAAAGGTTGAAGGTTTTGGCATCTGAGTGACTTGGGGCTGTGTTTGAACATTGGTTCCCTTAGTAAACGTATTAGTAGCTGGAATATCTAATCCCGAGGGAGCCAAATTTGACGCTGAGGGGAGTGGTTGAAGTTGATCAGTAAGAGTTGGTTCTGTATCTTTCTGGTTATCGACAGGAAGCTGTTCGATTGATCTTTGGTCAGTTGCACTATTAGGAACAACATGATCTTTCATCGATACAGCTGAAGGGACATCATCTAGTCGATCTCCTTTGTTCTGATCTTGAGATAGAGATTGTACTAGTTGTCGGCATGCATCAACTTGTGGAGGGTCTTTTCCATCCAACTGGCTCAAGATTGGATTAGTAACACTAGTAGAGTCATTTTGTCGAACAACTGTGGTGGAAGTATTTGCAGAGATCGTTGTCTTGGTTGTTGTGGAAATTGGCTCGATGAAGTGCTGTTTTGGTTGTTCAGAGGTGTTCTCCAAATCTACACAATCTATTTCTCATTGGATATCCATCTGTAAGACTTGGTTGGGAATTAGTGTTTGAGTTAAAGAGGAAACTCCAGTGCTTTGAATTTGACGAGCTGGCTCAAAATTAATCTAAGTATTTTTTGAAGATTCCAAATGTTCCGATGCTACAGTAAACCCGTCACCTGTTTTGAAAATCTGCAGCAGATCGTTTGTAATTGTGAGATTAAACCAACTGGTGTTTGTGTGTAGTGCTAATGGGTCTCTTTTGAGCCAAGTTTGGATGAATTCCACCGCCTAATGACGGATTTGTACCCATTCCGGTGGGAGTATATTTGTTGCATGGGCGGCTAGCATTTTTTTTCTCAGAGAAGAGGAGAAAGTTCGAGAGGATTTGGGGGCAGCGTATGGGTGGTAATGGGACTAGGGTTGGGGTGAGGGGATATAAGGAAAGGGTTTGGTTTATTATGAGTCGTTGATCATTTGAGATCAACGGCCAAGATCAAAAGGGAAATAGGGCGGGTTGTTTGGACGGGTCCAGACCAGGTTGGATAAAAGGGTTGTTTGGTCTGGGCTGTGGGAATGGGCTAAGTTTTTTGGGCGTGTTTTTGGTTCGAAAATTGGCCTTCACTTGGGCCAGATTTTAAAATACATAACATTAATTAAAATAAATTATTAAAATGGCTAATAAATAATAGAAAATGTTATTAATGAAATTAAACACTTAAAAATAATAACTCACAATTATAAAAATATAGAGTACTATTTTGACATAAATAATATAGTAGACAATTATTTGTAGAATGTCGGCTATTATTGAAAATAAAGTAAATAAATAAGTAAAAAATACTCATTTAACTATATAAAACAACAACAACATCAACAACAACAACAACAAACTTAGTAGTTTCCCACAAGTGGGGTCTAGAGAAGGTAAGATATGTGCAGCCTTACCCCTACCCCTAGAAGGGCAGAGAGGCTGTTTCCGATAGACCCTCCACTAGAGAACGATTGAAAAAGAAAAGGTGATTCCAACAAGTAGGAATAACAGCAAGTTGAAGTATGATTGAATCCAAGAATGTAGTCAAACTCTAAGTAGTGATAGCCATCTATGGATAAAAGATATCATAGTAACACTAATGCTAGCGAATTGAGTAAGCCAAAGAGAAATGCTTGACTACCTACGAACCTTCTACTCTAATCTTTGACCTCCACAGCCTCCTATCTAGGGACATGTCCTCAGTCATCTCCAACTGCGCCATGTCCCGCCTAATAACCTCTCCCCAAGACTTCTTAGGCCTAACTCTACCCCTTCTGCCACCCACTGAGGCTAACCGCTCGCCCCTTCTAACTGGGGATTTTATACTTCTCCTCTTAACATGACCGAACCATCTCAACCTCGCCTCCCACATCTTATCCTCCACAGGGACCAATCCCACCTTTTCCTGAATAACCTCATTCCTAATCTTATCTAACCGGGTATGTCCACACATCTACCTCAACATCCTCATCTCAGCTACTTTTAGCTTATGGGTATGAGAGTTTTTGACCAGCCAACACTCTGCTCCATACAACATAGTCGGTTTAACTACAATCTTGTATAACTTACCTTTAAGTCTCAGCGGCATATTATTATCATACAAGACGCGGGAAGCGAGCCTCCACTTCATCCATCCTGCTCCTATATGATGTGTAACATCTTCATCAATCTCCCCATTACCTTGTATTATAGATCCAAGATACTCGAAACTACCTCTCTTAGGGATGACGTATCAAGCCTCACCTCCATATCCCCTTCCTGGGTACCATTGTTGAACTTGCACTCTAATTATTCTATCTTGGTCCTGCTCAACTTGAAACCCTTACATTCTAGGGTCTGCCTCCAAACCTCCAGCCTATCGTTAACACCACCCTGCATCTTATCAATTAAAACTGTATCATCAGCAACATATAACATGGCACCTCACCTTGATTGTGTCTCGTCAATGCGTCTAACGGCAAGGAATATAGGAATGGACTAAGAGTTGATCCCTGGTGCAACCCCTTCATAACCATAAAGTGTTCTGAGTCTCCTCTCGCTGCCCTAACCCGAGTCTTAGCTTCATCATACATATACTTAATCACCCTAATGTAGGCTACTGGGAGCCCTTTAGACTCCAAGCATCGCCAGAGCACCTCTCTCGGGACTTTGCCATATGTTTTCTCTAGGTCAATGAACACCATGTGCAAGTCCTTATTCATCTCCTTATACCACTCCACCAATCTCCTCACAATGTGAATGGCTTCCATAGTCGAACGCCCGACATGACACCTAACTGGTTCTTAGAAATGGACACACTGGTCCTCACCCTTACTTCAACCACCCTCTCCCAAACTTTCATAGTATGGCTTAGCAGCTTAATCCCCCTATAATTATTGCAACTTTGGATATCGCCCTTATTTTTATACAGAGGAATCATCGTACTCCACCTCCATTCATCAAGCATCCTCTTCGTCCTAATAATGATGTTGAACAGCCTAGTGAGCCACTCCAAATCTGCCCTACCCACATTCTTCCAAAATTCCACAGGTATTTCATCTAGCTCGGTAGCTCTACCCCTGTGCATCTTACTCAAAGAACTCTCGACCTCCTCTACTCTTATACGCCTACAATACCCGAAATCCCTACATATCTCGGAGTGCTCCAAGTCGCCCAGCACAATGTCCCTATCACCCTCTTCGTTCAGGAGTTTATGGAAATATGTCTGCCATCTTCGTCTAATCTGAGCATGTTCCATCAAAACTCTACCTTCCTCATCTTTGATACACTTAACTTGATCCAGGTCACGGTCCTTCCTCTCGCTTACATTTTCTAGCCTATATAACTTCTTTTCTCCGCCTTTGGCCCCAAGCTCTTCATACAAACACCCAAACGCCGCAGTCTTAGCTGCAGTAATCGCTAACTTTGCCTCCTTCTTACCCCTCATATACCCCTCCATGTTCATCCTCTTCGCCTCCTCATCCATGCTCTCTATAAGCGTCGAGTACGCCGCTTGCTTGGCTTCCACTTTCTCTTGTACCTCCTCACTCCACCACCAGTCACCTTTGTGGCTGCCAGAGAAACCCTTCGAGACCCCTAACACTTCTCTCGCAGCTTCTCTAATACATTCCGTTGTCGTGGTCCACATACTGCTCGCGTCCCCACTGCTCCTCCATGATCCCAGAGCCAACAATCCCCCCCCAACTCCTGCGCTTTGCACTAGTCAAAGCTCCCCATCTGATCCTGGGTTAACCATACACGGGCCTTTTCCTCCTCTTCCTCACGATCTCTAAGTCAATCACCAATAATCTATGCTGAGTCATGAGATTCTTGCTTGGTATAACCTTGCAATCCATGCACAAACTCCTATCGCACTTCCAGAGGAGTAGATAATCAATTTAAGTTTTGGCCAACGAACTCCAAAATGTAACCAAGTACTCCTCCCTTTTCGGAAAACACGAGTTGGAAATCTCTAAATCAAAGGCTTTAGCACAGTCCAACAACAAAGTACCTCTTTTGTTCCTAACTCCAAAGCCAAAGCCCCCATGCACGTCGTCATACCCCCCAGATATCGCCCTAATTTGACCATTAAAGTCCCCTCTTATAATAACTTCTCGGTGAGTGTAATGCCACGTACCAACCCGTCAAATTCTTCCCAGAAGCACCTCTTAATCTCCTCATCCAAACCAACTTAAGGCGCGTAAGCACTAGTAAGATTTAAAGTAGACCCTCCCACAACCAGCTTAATAGCAATCAGCCTGTCGATCAACCTCCTAACTTCTACCACTAGCTCCTTAAGATCCTTATCAGCCAAGATACCTACCCCATTCTTACCTCTCTCGCATCCTGATACCCATAAATTAAACCCATCAGTATCTCGAGCCTTCGAACCTACCCATCTAAATCTCCTGGACACAAGCTAAGTTGATCTTCTTCTTCTGGAGGATCTTCGCTAACTCTATAGACTTCCCCGTCAAAGTTCCTATGTTCCACGACCCCATTCTCAGTCTAGAAACTCCCTTTCCCCCTNCCCTCCACCCGAGAACATGATCTTATTCCACCATCACTTACCCCAGCCTCTATAATTTACGTAAAATTACGGTAGAGTTGTCGCTAAAAGGACAAATGATTAAACTAAAGAAGGCAGGTCTAACACTTACAACTCTAACCACTAGAAATGTTTACAGATAAGACAAACACACAAGCAAGAATTAAACTAGTGATAACAGTAGATATCTAAAAGAAGGCCAACAGACCAACTACTAAGAAATCAAATTACAGTCTATAAATCCCTAAACAGTTACTAGCAAGAAAAATATCCAGACAGATGCACTAAATAATTGTAGTCAATCAAGAATTAGGCTTAAACTAATGCAAACTAATTGGATACTAACAAGGGAAGACATAGATATTAAATGAATAACAACAGGTACCAACTCCCGATTAGTGCGAAACTTGGGTGAATCATCGTAAATGTCAAGGTCACACTGCCGTAGTAACCTTAGTCAATATCCTGCTGACTCCAACCAATTTTGACGTTCGACGCACGCTCTGATCCAGTAATGAATACGTGCAAAAATAGAAGGGGAGAACCAAAGGGGGGAAAAGGGGAGGAAGAATAGAGGTATGCCAAGAAAAACCCAAATAGCAATTTTGGGAAAAATAGATTTTGCAAATAACTTTCTGGATACGACGTGTTACTGTAGTTTGAAAACCTACTCCGATTCATCTTTTGTTTCCATAAAACTATTTTAGGTAAACTTTTGAAAACTAAAATCGATTTAGGACAAAGGGGGGTGCAGTCAAATAATGGAAAAGGCTTTGTGGTTAAAAATTGGAGCCAAAAGAAAATGAAATTAAAGAAAAACGTAGTGTCAACGACGGAGAATAGGTTTTCCGAGAAGAATATTTCGGTAAGGAAAAGGAAGAGATGAAGGGAAACCCTACTAAATGGGAGATAACCAAATCAAACAAATCTCCCAAATCCAAGAACACCAAGAAACTAATTTGTGACTAATAACAAACCCAGTCGATAAAATTGAAGATAACCAATAAAATCAATACCCCTTTCTCATATACCTTCCCAATCAGGAACCCACCAATAATGCTACGAAATAATTATGCAAAGGTAGACAGAAAGTGGTATTTGTTTTTCCCTTTTTTCCCTTCACTTTCCGATCACCACCAAATATTCTAGCATGATTTTCTCCCTTTCAGTAAAACCCCACAAATCTAATAAGCAGAATAGTTACCCAAAATCTAAAGTACAAATTTTAGTTCCACTAAACTTAAATAAAATACAAACCCAAGAAATCTTAAATATAGATAATATGGAAGGGGCTTGCAAAAATCTTGAATGCAAATAATATGGAAGACCGAAGTAACAATGAAGTAAAATATTATAGAGTATGTATATGGGTGTATATAGTTAATTTGGATTATTAAAGCACTCAAAATAACTTGAAGGAGTAATTAAAAAATATTTTATAATTTAGGAAACTGCCAGAAATCAAATTTAAAAGCTTTAAAAATTATAAAAATCACTTATATGACCTCTATAAATTGGGTAATAATACAAAATAATATTCTGAAAGTATATCGAATACTTTGTAAAGTATGAGGAAAAAATTAATTATCAACAACGGTCTAGATGAACCTCCCCTGAACATCATCTTTCCACCACTACCACCACTAAAAGAACCGCCAAAGTTGCCCATGGATAGGGTCTTCTTGTTGCCATCTCGCTCCATTTTGTTCTTCAATTTTTGAGTCTTCGTGGCTTGAGATAATACCACCATCTTCCCATAGTTCATGTCAGAATTCAAGGCGGCTGTAGCGGCCTCGTTGATAACCAAAGGGCTAAGGCCCTACACAAACCTGCTAATCCTAGCCTCCATAATGGACAACATGTAAATACCATGCTTGGAAAGATCCGCAAATCTCATATGGTAGTCCTAGACACTCATACTACCTTGCTTCAAATTCTCAAACTCGGCAGCATGGGCTTCCCTAGTCTCGGGAGGCAATAAATGATCCATGAAAGCATCCGCAAACTCATTCCACTTCGCCGGAGGGCTCCCCTCCTCACGGGACTCGTCCCACAATTCAAACCTGGAATACGCCACTTCTTTCAGGCGATAAAAGGCCAATTCCACTGCTTCTATCTTAGTCACTCATAACAAGGAGAGTCTTGTACATCTCATCAATAAATACATGGGGGTCCTCCTCGGGCTTAGTACCCGTGAAGACTAGAGGATCTAACTGAAGGAATCAGTTCACCCTGGAACTAGCAGAATCCCCTTGTTGGCTAGAGGAAGTAGGTATGGAATTCAGGCTCTGGACCTGGGAAGCTACTATCTGAGTCAACATCTGTATGGCTCCCCTAACGTTCCCATCAGAAGCACTAGAACTGGAGGTTAAGGCTAGAGGTGGAACTGGAATGACAGTTGGAGGAGGAATTAGTATATTCTCAGCATGTGTAGTAGAATCAGGAGTTGTTGTGGTTTAGGGAATGTCTTCACCCTTCGGGTGCTCACCCGTAACATCATGTATAGTTTCAACTGCCACTCTTGGGGTGACATTCGCCCTTTGGCCACTCCTCGCCTTCTTCTTAGGCGTATTGCACTGAGAATTTAGAACAACACACGAGTTGAAAATTGACAGTCTTATAATCAGCTCTATCGCATGATCTAGAATACCAAAGAAGAGTGACATTCCTAAATGCCCAAGTAGCCTCTGAATTATAGATGTGGTCGACAACACACCGATAAGGACTCTACTAGACACGGCTCCGAGACATCCTAGTATCCTTTTAAACCTTAGGCTCTGATACCAAGCTTGCCATGCCCCAACCTTGTGGAGTGTGACTGACGCTCAACCGAGATATCCCAATCAAGCAAGCCTACTTGATGCCCACAACCCTACTTGCCCGTGCGTTATTTGAGAATAAATGACATGAGAAAAATTAGTGAGAGGATAAAGGATACGACATTGTATTTCATTAATTAAAGGAGCATCATTGATAGTTACAAATATTACAAGTTCACATTTAGAAGTGGAAACATCCAACAATTACAACAACATATTTTATTTGTTTCTTCCGATACCAAACATATGCCACAACATGTCTACAGAGCCTCTAAATAAATTAGAAAAGTAGCATAAAATTGTCTGATATTTAGCTTTAAGTATATATATTAATATGTATATCACCTCATATTTTACTCGTGTTTTGTGGATTTTGGATGTAAAGTGTATTGATTTATGTTAATTTGTGGTGTTTTTATATGTAGGAATCATCCAGAGGCAATATGGGGCGAAATGTGCGAGATTAGAGCCAAAACGGAGGAAAATTGAGAAATGTTGAATTCCAGCGCCACAGGCAGCGGTGCCCCGCGCCACCTGGGGTGTCACTTACAAAATGCTCAATTTGCCAGGGCCAGCGCCCCATGCCGCTTCCCTGGGCACTGGTGACGGGAATTTCTCCAACTTTGCCCGGGACAAGGTTATTTGAACCCAAGATCCCCCCCCCCCAAACTTGTATAAAAGCAAGTCTAAACCTAATTTGGAGAATATATCTAACATACTTTGAAGGAGAATTCACATGAAGGAACATACACCACGCTTGGAGGAGGCTTCTAACTAGTTTTTCTTCTCTTCTCTTCTTTTAGTTTCAAAGTTTATTAGTTCTAGAGTTTTGGGTGCTACATGAACGTTGTAGTTTGAAGCTTGAATTGTTCTTATTATTTTATCATATTGATTTTATTTATTCAATCTTGCGCTTAATTATTTGATTGCTTGATCACCAATTGAATACTATCTATAAATCTAGGATTGAACTCTGGAGAGGAAATTTTAGATTGCATATAAGATTGAATAGAGCAAGATCTTGAATTCGAGCATCAGGAACAAATTTGCGGCTAGGATATGGATATACCTAATCGCCTTGTTTGGTTACTATGCGGGAATTATTAATGCTTTCTTGTTAATCCTTAGGAATATTGGCGTTAGGTTAGCTTGAGTAGGAGAGTAGTACTTCGGGAGAAGGCTACGAGCGATATTAACCCTATCAATCAATAAACCAGATAAATTAATTAGAAGATTTAAGTGAAAAACTCAACAAGATTGTTAGCTAACCCATAGCTCTGG